AGAGACTGCAGTCAATGTCATGAAACAAAATGTGTATGAACTGTTGTATGGAAAATGAATTTGCTCTGTAAACATTCACCCAAATCACAATTAAAAGTAATAATAATGCCAATTTCACTTCAGAAAGTCTTCAAGGAAAATAACTGATAGCATTTATTGCCAATGATGAAATTTCAGCTTTCCAGTGAAAGTCAGAATTTTGGAAAATTGCATCTGCTACCAAGAGCTTGACAACTTTAGGAAGACTGTTCTGATGAGATGGCTGATTATATTAATGAATGTAGTTGCTTGATACTGTATAATGAAATGTGTCAGAATTAGGAAGATCTATGTAATACAGTGAACCACCATTTTCCAAATGACCAATGTCAGATGTTACAAAGCCATACATGGGTAAAATATCCATTCAAATGTAAGAGAGACCAATGGATTTTAATGTAACAGAATAAGAAATGTTCACTGATAAGGCTTTAGATTCCACATTGCAAATGACCTTTGAAAATTGTCACTTGTGGAACTTCGGAATGGCATCAAGGAACAGTCATGATTCTCTAAATAAGACTATTATTAAAATACTCTTTTCTAATTACTTCCCAGTGTGAGGTTAGAATTTCTTCATCACCGTATACCAAAACAGCAGAATGCAACAGATTAAATGTAGTAGATGGAAGAACCCAGCCATCTTTTATTAAGTCACATATTAATTTTGCAAAAAATGCTAACCAATGTCATTATTCTCGCTAGCTTTGGGGAGGGTGTTACAAAATAGCTTTTTTTTTTTGTTAAAAATATTATTTATACATGTAATGAGTTTAAACTGTTATTTTTTAAAATAAACTAATAAATACTTGAAAATTTTCCCAGTTTTAATTTCAGTATGGTAAAAATGGATAACCCATATTTACAGAAGCTCTAAGGTCCTCAGTCATTTTTAAGAAGGGACCCTGACACTAAAAAGTTTGAGAATTGCTGCCTTAAATGAAGATTTATTCTCTTTTCACACCTGTGTTATGTGAAAATCTTCATTTGTTGGGAT